GTTAGGAATGTGCAAGCAGATCCTAACTCTGAACCAGGATATGCTTTGAGTTCAGATCTGCTGTACACTTACAACAGAGGGGAGGAGCGCTTGTGCGTTCCCCATGACCAGCGGCTCAGGACACTGCTGATGTCAGAGTGTCATGACGCCCGTGGACATTTTGGGTTCCTAAAGTCATATGCAGCCCTATTGCAACGCTTCTTCTGGAAGGAGATGCAGAGTGATATGCTGCGCTATGTGGAAACCTGCGAGCTCTGCCAAAGGAATAAGGTCCAGCGTAGGCCTCCTTTGGGACTGCTCAAACCCTTACCCATACCTGATGGCCCTGCTGAATCTGTGTCGATCGACTTCACAGATTTAGGCAAGACCACCCCTCTTGGCATGCGTCAGGTTATGGTCTACGTGGACAGGTTCTCCAAATATGCAGAGTTCATCCCCTTGCCAGAAGTGGCCAGAGTTCCGGTTGTGAGAGCAGCCTTTTCAGAGAGGTGGGTCACACACCATGGACCGCCCACTTCTATAGTCAGTGATAGAGACCCCCGATTTTGCGGCGATGAGTGGCAGTCCTATTGTAAGGACTATCTGCACTCACGATTGGACATGACTTCTGGTCGTCATCCTGAAGCCAATGGTCAGGCTGAAGTGATGAACCAAGTCTTATTCTAGTTGTTGCGTCATGTCATCTCTCCAGATCAGCAGGACTGGGATCTTCACTTGGCTCGAGCACAACTTGTTTATAACATGTCTGTCCATTCTCGACGAGGTTCAGTCCATACCGATTACACTGGGGAAGTTAACCACAACAACCTCTCGATGATATCATCGATAAGGCCAAGTCTAATCTAACTCCAGGCACCGCAGAGTTCACCAGACGCTACCGCATAGATGTGGAAAGAGCACGGGCGAACTTGTTCAAAACCCAAAAGGCGATGATTGAACAAGCTAATCGCCACAGGCGGCCTTCCCCCATCCGCACTGGTGATCAGGTCTGGGTAGCCAGTTCTGAGTTCTCGAGGGAGGAGGATATCTCCAGCAAGTTGTTGCCTCGTTACCTGGGTCCATGGCAGGTCTTAGATACAGTGGGCGCTGATCCATTCGGTCCATGCATCTACGAACCTACCTGGTCTTCCATGCGTCTAAGCTGCTTCCCTTCACTCCAACTGATGCGTTCCCAGACCAGGCCCCTCAATTTGGCCCACCGATCCCTGGCAAGGGATATGACGTGGACAGGATTGAGGATGAGTGGGGCACTGGCCCCGATCGGCAGTATCTTGTGAGGTTCGCGTTCCAGCCACCTTCTGAGAGCAGATGGTTCTACAGAAGAGAACTTCTCAAGACAACGAAGTCAATTGTTCTGCGATATGAAGTGGCTCAGAAGGGCAACCTTCCTCGCCGTTCAACTCGTCTACATCCCTAGCTCGGAGGTCCTCACTCCTCGGGGGGGTAAGCCTGCAATGACTTGCTGATTTCGACTGCCGAGACTAACCGCGAGGTTGTACAGTACAGCAGTAGGTTAGATTTGTAATTTTGTTTGGCCGAGGGCTAACCGAGAGACCTACCTGTAAGGAAAATTCGTAAGGGACATATCTGCAT